TATATTTCAGATATGTGAATCTCTAGTGTAAAATTGTTTGTTTTTTACAAATAAAATTATGTTCCTATCTAGTGAATACTACACCTAAAATTAGATATTAAAAAGTAAAGTAAGTTTTAATCCCAGTTTTAAAATATGTATATTTTCAAAACTGTAAGTCATTTTTTAAATCCAAAGTTAAAAGTATTCTTTTTTAGCCACTAATCAGTGTCATCAGACAATAGTTTCAATAATTTGAAAGTTCTTTTACCATACATTTATTACTATCAGTTGCTTTTTTTTTTCCTTACTTTAGTTTAAGGTGTCTTCTAATTGAGTGTACAATTTCAAGAATATTGATAAAGACTGCTCACTTTGATTTTGCGAAACAAAGTAATGTGTGAAATTTAGTCTTGAAAAAATCAAATTTCAGATTTTCAGCTGTTCAAAGCAAAATATTGTCTTAACTTGCTGTAAAAAATTAATTTAATGAATAAATCGCATGCAAATTACATATTTAGAAAGATTATTTTATTTTCTTTCGAGCCATATGAATATTTTTAAGATTGGACAAGAAATACACAAGAAATTACAAGTTAAACAGACTAAGTTGCAAATTTATCTATCTCAAACGAAATCAGATATCAACTGGAAATACTATCATTACACAAGAAAATGAATGGCTTCCTTAGAAAGCAAAAATACTATATCAAAAACCAATAAGCTGAATAGAAAACCACAGTGTCAAGGAAAAAAAATGAAAACTAATACCGAAACATAAATTGCCAAACTGACCAACTCTAGTGGGTAGTCTATTGTATTACTCTAACAATTATTTTGGTGGGTGTGGTTTCTTTATTTTTTATTATTTACATAATTTATTTACTTATTTATTTGTTTGGGTTAATTTATTTATTTTTATTTATTCATTTTCAGTATTTGATTTTTAAGTAGCATAGTAAATATTTGTTTTCGTTTCTGCATTTTGAGATGAGTTTTAATTGTTTATTTAGTAGTTTGCTTTGGTCTGGGAAGGTAATTATAGCTATTTTTTTTCCTCCAGGCAGCACTTACAGTTTTTGGATTGATTGTTGTAGACTGATGTTCTTTTCCTTATTTTCCATATTTTAAGTGTGATCTGTTTTTTGTTTTCAATCTCCCAGGTAAGTTCAGAAAGCATTGTGTTGTTCGCGTATTTACTGTTTGTAAAGGATTTTTTGTGTGCATAGTTTCTTTATTTCCAGGGTCCTTCAGTTACACCTATATACATTTTTTCTTTGTTATCTGCTGATTTTACAGTGGCTTGGTATATTACATTGTTCTGCAAGCAATTGCTGTTTACAGGGCATTTGTTCTTTATTCTGCAGTTACATGTGTGTTTAATTTGTTCAAGTGGTTTGTTTTCCTGTTGTGCTTTTTTATTATTTGTGTCATGTCCTTGGTGCAACTGTAGCTGATTTTTACAGTGTTTTTGTTGAATATCTTGTGGAAATTGCTTAATGTGGGGAAGTTTTGTGAATGAGTTTAATGAATATTTTTCCTACACTCGTTTTTAAGTTTTTGTTGTACAGTGAGTTGAACTATGTTTACCTTCCAGTTTGCTTTTTTTGTGTGGTGTGTATGTGAGTGTTATCAGGAATCCACTATCTTTTAGGGCTGTTTCATAGTTTTCCTTAGCTTTGTTGAATATGGTTTCATTGGAAGAATTGTCAGAAAGTCTGCAGGTAATTGATTGTGGTATCTGCTTCATTATTGATGGTGGGTGGGCAGATGGTTGGAAGTTGTTTATATACAGTGATTTACTATTGGATTTTCTGTATGGTTTATATGTACCTTTTCTTAGGTTGAAGAAAATCTACTTCTTTTAGGCAAGTTTTTATATCTATGTTCAATCCCATATTGTTGAAAATCTTTATGATTGCATTTCTAGTTATATATTTATGTGTTTGTGTATTATGATGTGATTGTGTCTGTCTTGTCATTAGTAAAACTTCCTCCCCTGTACACATCACCTGAATTCAGATGCCTTCAATTGTATCTAAGTTGTTATGATGTTTGAATCTCCTTAGATTAGCGTTTGCTCTAACTGAAAATTTGGCTTTCTAAAACTATATATATATATATATATATATATATATATATATGTATGTATATATAAATAAAAAGAAAGAACAGTAACATATATAATCCAGTGTTCTTATAGATATTTTTATTTTTACAAAATAGTGCTCAATGCAAATTTACAGAGCATTAATATTAAAAATTAATTGATTTAAAATATGGTTTTTCCGCTACACAGTTCTAACCATGTTTCAAATTTGGACCTTCCATTTTTGAAACATGGTTAGAACTGAGTAGCGGAAAAACCATATTTTAAATCAATTATTTAATGGACAAAGACCGACAATTTATTTATTAAAGACATTTTTATGTTTAACGTTCTTTTTTTTTTATAGATACAAGTATTTAAGTAAATGCTCTGTTTATTTAATACTGTTTATTATAAACAGAGCATTTACTTAAATACTTGTATCTATAAAAAAACGTTAAACATAAAAATGTCTTTTAATAAAATAAATATATATATAATATAATATATATATATATATATATATATATATATATATATATATATATATATATATATATATGTATATATATATTCCTCCATTCTTTCTTTGAATAATTTTATAATATTTTAAACTTAATGTAAGGTTAAATTTAAAATCTGTAATTTTTATTTTTTTTAACTTTATAGTAAAATTAAAAATTAATCAGACTGATTTCTAATTTAGTCTAACATTAACATTGAGGCGTTAATAAATTGTATCTAAGGATCGTTGTCAAGTTTTTTGAATTATCATATACTTGCATTTTGATTGGTCATTGTAGTTTACGTAACAATGTTTCCTCTATTGAGGGGAGTTTGAGTGGTTTTGAACTTTTTAAAACTCTTTATTCTGCAATCAACACCATCACTTGACAAGACACCAGAAGTGTTGAAACAAAATGGCTATTTTTGTCATGATATAACATTTTTATGTTATATTTTTTTAATAAATACTATATATATATATATATATATATATATATATATATATATATATATATATATATATATATATAGGGTGTGTAAGTATTTGCGTAAGGTATTTGAGGACAAGTGATTGTGCACCTGCAGTTATGTAATAATCAATCAATGTGCTTTTAGTTTTTCAGAGCAAAAATAGTGAACTAACACCTAATGCATAAGGTGAAACAAAATTCAATACAGCTCATACCTGATGAGGAAATGGCAGTTCATGCATGCACACACACAAGATAAGGGTTGCTCTGAGCACAACAATAACCGGACAAGTTGAAACACCAGGAAGAACATGGCATGCACTGTTTTTTTCTTTTTCAAGACGAAAAAAATCTCAACTCGAATCAAAATGTGAGCCTGAGAAATGTGCGGACCCTTTTGATGTCCCACATATTATGCACACCCAAGTTGCTTCTGCGATGGTTTTATGGTTGATGAGTTGTGAAAGGGCCCATCATACCACCCACCCTACCTCTTTCAGCAGGGTCTTTGGTTAAATGCTGCTGGCTACACTGAGGTGCTCAAAAAAAATTGTGAAGCCTTGGGTAGACTTTGTATGTGATGGAAGGCTGTATGTGTTTCAGCAGGACTCTGCACCTGCTTGCAAATCAGTGGTAAGCAAAGACTGAATGGTAGCCATTCTGCACAACCCCATCACACCAGACATGTGGCCACCTAACTCACCAGACCTAAAACCCCTTGACTATTACAAGTGGAGTGTTGTTGAGCGGAGACTAATCAATGTCCTCATAATATGATCAATTTGCTGAAAGCCACTAGTACCTAAGTAGCCCAAGACAGAACATGTCATGCATGCATGTTAACAGTTCTGGTCATCCACTGAAGCCATTATTGTGGTTGAAGACAGTTACATTGAATAAAAATGTAACCCAACCATTACAGTATCGTATCTGTGTACCAAGTTTTGTATCAATAAATTTAATTGTTTGGAGGTGTTTTTCTTCTGGTCCTTAACATGGACGAAATACCAGTATGTATATATATATATATATATATATCATCACTGTCTTGTCTGTATATTGCTTAATATGTTGTAATTGACATCTTTGATAATGGCTTAATTAAGCCGAAAGCTTAGATTGTATTGTATTAAAAAAAATATGGATCAATATTGTGAATTTCTTTCTTCGTTCAACAATAATGTTATTAAACTTATCAGATGTTATGAAAAAAATTTACATAAAATAAATAGACAACACTTGTCTATATTATTTAATGAAACGTGTATATATATATATATATATATATATTGTGTATTTAGGTAGCAATCCTTCTTTCATGCAAGATTTGTTGAATATGACAGACAAGGCTTTGATTAAGTTTTTTATACTGTTTCTCAAGTGATCTTATAATTTTTCTTTTCAGAAAATAAATTATATAAAAACTGTCCAATAGTTGTTTTTTTTCTGAGCATTTTCGGATATATATATATATATATATATATATATATATATAGAACAGTCAGTAATGTTTAACCTATGTGCTCACAAAAAACAGAATAAAGAATATATTTAAATTCAAGAATAAAGAAAATATATAAATCCACTTTCATATGTTTGGGTTTTATTAAAATTCTAATCATCATTTTTTAAAACAATAAACATTACTGAGGAGTGAAGGTAGTTAAAATAATAGCAGTGTCAAGGGAATAATTGTACTTTTGACACATCAATTTTTTTTATGGCTACAAAGGTTAAACATAGCCATTATGATTTTCTTCTACCAAAAATAGGCTATAATATTTCTAAATTTAAAAATATTACAAACTTGTAAGAAGACAGTAATCATATGTCTAGACATAGACTCTTGGATATTATTCAACATGTGAACACCATGGAAATTACAAATTATTTGAACATAATCACCTGGAAAACTTCATCAGGAATAATTCTGTTTGAAGACATTAATTACTTCCAAACACCCATTCTTGTAGGATCACCAAAGTTAAGCAATGTTGGTCCTGGTCAGTACCCAGATTGGTGACCACCTAGGAGTACCATGTGTTGTGATATGTCCCAAAAAGGGATATATTTGTTCGAAGTAGCAAAGTGGGTTTGTGCTACCGTAACCAGGTAGGACAATCTAGCAGGTAACCGTAATCACTGGTCCTCGTTGTAGTGGTAGGCAATAGGCATAGGCAATAGGTGAAGCCAATAGGCGTCATCCATGTACCTCCACATCAGTCTGTATTTATGGCTGACAGCAGCCAATCATATTACTGTGAGGGGGAACCCAGGTGTATGCATATACATTACATCATGTTGTAACCTGTAATATTTTGAATTGAATTTTTATCACTGTTCTTACACCATAAAGTAATCTTTAAAATGCAAAATTAAAGAAAAAAAAAACTGAAGATCTAGACAAGACAATATGCTTGAAGTGAAAATGCATAATTTTACTTGAGTTAAAGAAATTTATTAATCCTATTTTTCCTAGTTTTTCTTCTTAGAAAGACTCTCTCAAGAAAGTTAATTCAAATAATGTTTCATGTTTAATTTTTAACAGAGACTTTTATTCCAAAAACTATGTCCTTGATTTTGTGTTTAACTGAAAAATCTATCTATATATAAAATTCTGTGACTTACATTAGTCTGTCCATCCATATGTCCATCACACCCTCTAAAATAGTCATACATTGACTGATGGAAACTAAATTTTGGGGAAAAGTACAAACAAGTAAGAGGGTACAAAGTACAATTTGTTTTACTTGGGTGTGTAGCAATAAATTTTCATTAATTTTTTTGGAAAAATTAAAAGTTTTATTATTTAACATAAAAAATACTCCCACTATTTTAAAAACAATTTAATAATTACAATAACAAATACATTGAATAAAAATGCAATATTGTTTTTTTGCATATTTTTTTATATACAAGAATCTAGTTTCCAGTTTGCCCTGCCTTTGTGAAAACTATAAGCAAATCACAAGGTCAAACCCTTCAAAAAGTTGGGATTTGGCTCCAGAAAGAAATATTTATGTATGGCCAGCTATATGTTGCATGCACAAGAGTAAGAAATCCGAGGAATTTATTTTTCACTGTTAAAAAGGAAAAACGGAAATTTTCTAAAAAAAAAAATATGGTTTAACATCAAGTCCAATAAAAATCAAAGTATTTTTCCAAACAAATTAGCTTGTTCAAATTTCAGTGATTGATTTGTGAAATTCAACAAAACATACAGTTTGTAAATCTTGACAAAAAATGTTAGCGATAACTTCAACAATACTAAATACTGTGAAGATTTTAACACATGCCAATGTTTTCCAAAAAAATTTCTAGTACATTTAAAAATGTCATTATTTATCAGATAAGGTTAATTTGATATTTCTTCTATGCTATTTTTATCTATAACATTAAATATATTGATGATAAATGTTTTTATGACTTATTAGTGTTTTTCTTTCTAAAATATATCTTATAAAATAGTATGTTGAAGTTTACTATTTTACTATTAAAAAAAACAATAAAATGAGAGCAAATGTAATATTTTTCAAATACAAAATTAATGAAAAAGTAATTTATTGAATATGTTATTCACTTTAACTTTTCTCCCAAAATTTCTAAAATTAGGCCTTCAGTAATGAGTTATGCACTATGAGTAGGCTTGTAGTATAGAACGCCATGATTCTATTACATAAAAAGATAACTGTTATTATCTTTACCTTCTCTAGTGGGACACAAAGTTTGCTCAGCATAGTTGCAGTATAAACCACAGGTTGGCTCTGTGAGTGTTGAAGAAACACAAATGGGCCTGAGCAGCCATGATAATTTACTGTGTAATGATTTGGTTTCCTCAAAGCATTGTGCTTTTAACTAATATAATCATTAATCAAAATTGAAATTATAGAGTTTTTTCGTACAATTAGTTAGAGGGGGGTAATACGTATGAAAAAAAAATTCTGCTAGGACTTTACTAAAAAAAAAAATATTTATAATAAGTTCCATCATTTGTGAATAGTTTCTGAAAGTTTCACTAAAATCCGGCAATTATTTTTATTTTTGCAAGATTTTCCAAATCAATGTGTGTCATACAGGAAAAAAACGCGCTAAAATTTTGTTATTTTATTGGTTCGGTTGATACAAAGAGAAACAATTTTTTTTAATCAAAATTTTCAATGTTCTAAAAAGAAGGAAAAATTTTTAAAAATAATTAAAAAATACTTTGATCTTTCCTCTCAATAAATAACATAAGCATTTAGACGATAAAATTTTGTTTTTGTCAACTTTGGTGTCTTTTTCATCATGCTTATGCTCTGTTTTTAGCGATCTCATGAAAGTGCCTATGATGTGTGTACTTGTAAAAGTAAAAGGTTTCGAAATTGATATATATAGCAGAATAATTGCTTTATTGAATCCCTTTTGAGGGAAACATGTTGAAATGATTTTAATTACTTTTAATTTTACATAGACGGGTTGGAACAAATCAAACTGGGTCATCTATCGTTAAAACCACACTATTTGAAACTCAAGTATAATAGCAAAAAAAAATAGGTTTTTTTTTTCTGTCAAGTGAATTGTTTGCAAGTCAAGAACATCTCGATTAATTGCTGACCAATAAGGAAAATTATAAAAAGATCAAGAACAGATGATTTTTTGTTTTTTAATTATAGAAAATGTATTTATATTTGTTTGTCCTTTCAAGAAGACAAATCTGTTTGTCACATCCATCACCACACCCTTAAATAAAAGTTTGTTTTCGTATGTAAAACAGGTAAGGTCCAGTGTAAAACAAGTCAGGGATCGATTTGATACTGTGTCGATCGGATAACCCCTTCTCAGTTTAAGGGGTTATCGACACATTAATTCTTTTTTTTTTTTTTATCTTAAATTTTTTTTAAAGATAATATAATATTTTTATTTTTTGATCCTAGCAAATGAAAAAGAATGCTAAATTTTAAAAAAATATTTTGAAAGAAACGTTTTCCTTATTTTTTACGATTGAACCATATTCTTATTTCTAGCTAAGTTTTAAAAATATATTTTTTAAAACGAAATTAAAAAAAATTTAAGGATTTTGATCAGATTATTTAGAAAAGTAAAACAGAAGACGAATGGAAGAAAAAAAACAAAAAAAAAAACATTGGCTGTTTTCAAAACAAAAAGGAGTCGCCTAATTCCCAGACCAATTTATTTAGACAGAGGATTAATTTATTAAATAAAACTAAAAGATAAATCACTGGGTGAATTGTTATATCTTTATTTACTTTGCCAAATAAATCACTATTATTATCAAAGCAAAGGAAAGGAAAATATGACAAGGAATGTGTCTCAAAAAATAAACCAGGAATACTTACGTATTTCTGTCTTCGAGTCTTTGTCTTCCTTGGAGCAGTGTAAAATTGGGGGAAATAAAGGAACTAAAGAATTTTAAATAAACTAAATATTTCTGGGTTAAAAATTATAGAATTAAAAAAGAAACTATTATTGTGATTAGCAAAATTCATCATCAAAACAAAAGTCAAGGGAGATAATTAAGGGTAACTAAATTTAATATCGTTTTTTTTTTTTAATTTCTCTCGATAAAATAAAATGTAATAAATGCGTATTTTAGATTTACAATTGCAGATATTTGTTACAAGAACAATTTTTGAGGTTTTGCGATTGTGCAAAAGGGAGCAATCAAATAGGGATGCAGGAAAAGTATTCGTCACACAAGCCAATAATTAACACACTGACAAACAAACAAAAATAATATCCTTAGTACAGTACTAGTAAGTAGTGACTACAAATATCCCACGTGTGATTTTACGTACGTAATTAGCTTGTAAAGGCCGGATTGTAGATAGACCAATATTATTTATATTAAGTATTAACGATATTTCCAACGTACAGGATTCAAGTAAACTAAACAACAATAACTCCAAATTGTTAATCAACAAATATATATTCAATTGAAATAAAACGTACAAGAACAAACATGCAATAAAATTGTGTTCAATGTAAGGGAAAGAAGTTGTTCCCCTTCAACTGCAGATTGATTTGTAATTGATTGTTTGAAGAAGGTTCTCGTGAGAGAAAAATCTTCAGGAATCAATATTAGAGCAAAGTTTGCATGTTAAGAATAAATAACACAAGAATACAATTAATTAAAACTGTGTTGTGTTAGAATGGTTTGAATCAACAGAGTTCTGATTGATTAAACTTGGTAAAGTCACAGAGGGAAATGTAAGTTTAAGAAATTTTGTGTCTGTATGTGCGTTTGAAATGTGATGAGTAAAGATTGTGGATTTGGGCTGACGGTTGGGATCTTACTGACGATATTCAGTCACCCCCTAATGAGGGTGTCATGTGGCACAAGGCTTTTTTAACGTGGGCATTCCGAGCCCGTGGGCTCGGCCAAAAATGCCCAATTGAACCCGTATAAACGGGTTCAGGGCCGGTCTACCTCCCCGAAGGTTCCTCCCGTCCGTAGGAAAAGAGTTTCAACCGAACAGTCGCTCAGAAAGTACTGAGTCGACTGACTGACTCTTACTGGATCTTACTGACAACTTGCGAAAAGTCACCCCTTTTAAGAAATAAGGGTAGGCTCCCACAGAAACGCGGGAAAACTTAATCTTACATTATATGAATGGTTAAAAATTATTAACCAATCACTACATTCGTACTAACAGAACAAGCAAGCAAGCTCAAAACCAAAGGATTCAAAGAAACGACTGCGATGGCTAAATTGTCCTATATAAAGGTAGTAGTGATTTATTAGCCAATCGCAGGCGAATAAAATGTGGGCGTGGAAAAACATAGCAACCGCTACAAGCTAAAGTTAGTAAAATTAAAATAGTAAATAGCTCAAATGGTCAGTATATCAAATGTTGTTGTTTAGGGCAGGTAGGTTCTTTATATTTGAAAAATTTTTACAACGCGATCTTCCTCACACTTTCGTACAATTTAATTTAAACCTAATTTAAAATACTCTGTCATCCAACAGGATTTGATGCTTATCTTTTGCTTTGGATTAAATTCGATATGTAATTCTTTTAAAATTTTAAAATTTAAACTAATATATTTT